AAAAAAAAAAAAAAAAATCACAGTCTAAGGAGGCCACGGGAGTCACCCTAGCAGGTCAGCACAAAGGGAACAAGATTCAGCAATCTAAACACCTAAGCGCCATCCTTTCTTCACCACCCCACCTATATTCTCCTCCCTCTTTCCCCCTCCCCACCCACACCTGTGAGTATGAACTGGTTCAGGGCAGTAGTCAGGTGTGGGCACTGGCAAAGTGGAGCTGCCAAGGGCTGTAGCCCTGGAGGAGTTGCTTGGATGCTCTCTGCTGGCCCCACGCCCAGGGACAGAGTTGTCTGTATTGCACTTAAGAGCTTCACACTCACTCACCCACCCACACAGAGCCAACCCTCCCCGCTCAGAATTGCTCAGTGGTGAACAGCTTAGACTTAGCTATGATTCAGTCCCCAAAGGACCAGGCCCAGACACCTGGGACACAGCACCCTCCACTGGTCAAAGGAGAGCCCCACTTCTATCAGAAGTTGATCCTAGAAATCACCTCTTCCCCCTTCCAAAAAAAAAGTAGGGGAGGATGATTCTCACAACATGGACGGTTCAATACTCCATCTGGAAATTAAAAGTGCCAAACAGTTCCCCAACTGCAATGCATGTTGGAAGAGAAGGAGCTTGGTCAAGAGCAGCCTTGGGCCCCAGGGGAAAGGGTATCGTTATCAAAACACAGAAGACAGAAGGCAGGATTTTCAGATGGGAAAACAGAATAGTATGGGGAGTGGGGAGCGAAGTAGTGGTCCCTGAACAGTGCAGGACCACTCAGTGTCCTGGTAGCAGTGTCTTCTCCAGCCCTTCATGCTAACTTCAGTGCACTGGCCAGGCCCCTTACCTTGGAGGTAAATGATTTGATCTTCCCAAAGAGTGACTTCTTGCTAGTAAAGATGAGGTCGTCTTCTACATCCTCGCCTTCCATGATGGCACAACTGTCAGCTGCTGGCAGGTCACAGTCCTTGAGGGTAGCGTTCATCACCAGCTTGGAGTACTTGTACTCTAGTCTATGAAACAAGAGGATGGAAAAGATAAGACACCAAAATGTGGGAATAGGGGGGAAGATGGAGAGAGATCGGGTTATAAACAGACGCTACTCCCATGCTGTGGATAAGGAAACTGAAGCATAGCCAAGTGGTGTTAGGACTGGTGTAGAGAAGGAATCTTAGCTTCCACTTCAGTGATCCTTTCTCCTTAAGGCTGATTATTTCTGTGATCTCAAAGCTTAATAGAAATGTTGAAATCATAAAGTCATTATTTGTATTGTAAATAATAACAAATTAAGGATACTCTTTGCTTTTCCTCTGAGCATCTAATAGCCATTTATAGACTGCCACATGGTACCATCCCTGTTCAGCAGTAAGGATAACCAAGGCATACACTGGATAAGTGGCTCAACAGTCTCTGGCCAGAGTCAGAGGGTCTGTGGCCAACTCCAGAGAAAAGCCCCATTAATTTATACTCTCAAATGTTCTCCGTGCTCAATAATCCAACCCTGTTCATCCCCAAATTCCAATTCCCCACCATGTACTTTTGATTCTTTTTCCAGAAGTAGCAGGTCAAGACGGTGAGCAGGATGGCAGTACAGGTGCCCGCAGAGATGCCCACTTTTAGCCAGAAATCTATCGTTTTGCAGATGGTGACTCTCTGCTCAGGCAGAGAGATGCCACCGGAGCATAGCTTTGGCTCTCGCCACACATAAGTAGTCTTCTGTTGGGGAGAAAAACAAGAAACTCAGATTTCACATTGCCTTTTCTCCCGGGACGTCCCGAATCAGAGGGAAACGTACCTGGATCCCAGCCACACAGCTGCTGACGATAGCGTGGTAGTCAGCCACTGAGCAGAGCGGGCAAGCGGCCACGCTCTCCCACAGGAAGTGGAAGTTGCAGCCATCACAGGTCCCGTCGGAGCACATGCTAGCAAAGCAGAAGGGAGGCCTGAGCTCCACTCACAGACCAGTGGGGGAGATCTGGCTGGAGGCCTGCTGTCTCATGGCTTGCCTGATGCATCCTCTCCCTGCCCCAATCGTTAGTCCTACCAGGATCCTGCCAACTGGTCCTTAACGCAGCCTTGATCTCTGATCTCCCTGAGGATAAGAGGCCTTCCCAATTCCCACTGGGCTCCCCACCCTCTGCCCGTTTATGCTTTTGCTGACATCAGATGAGAGCTGATGTAAGGTGTCTGAGCTCTAGTGTGGCTGCCCCATCCATCCCTAAGGTTCCCATCCTCCCAGGGACATGTGACATTTTGCAATTGCACTTTGATGCAGCATCCTGGGGGTGGGATTGGCGTTGAGGAATGAACTTCAAGTCATGGATATCTGTTATGTACTTTACTGTGATGGTTACAATGGCAAGAACAGCGATTTTACACTTGGACACCACTCCTGGGTCAAGATGCCCTGCTCTGCTCCCCATCTTCCCAATCAGTCTTTGTGCAGGAGCAGCATTTCCCAGACTGTCTGCCCGAAGGCACTAGTGCCCCTCAAGATGTTAGTTGGTGTTATGTGGGGAAAAAAGGCGGTGGTGGTGTCCTGTGGTCATATTAGTTTGGAAACTTTCAATTTAGTATACTCAGCTATTAAACTCAGAATTGGGTTCTTTAGTTGCAGATTCTTTTTTTTTT